GCCGAATCAGAGCCCACACGCCTCCAAAAATCAGGCGGCACACCGTCGGGGCCTGAGATTTCCCATCTCGAAGCCCCCGCGAAACAAAAGAGAATTCATCCATGCTGAACGCGCCCGCGTCGACCGACAGCGCGTCGGCGGCGGGCGCGCGCGGCGCCAGCGCCTCATCCGGGAGGCGGGCTTGCCGCTGCACGCGCGCGAAATAGTCGGCGAGGACGTTCGCGCGCTCGGCCGCGCCCGCGAGGGCCCCGTCAAGGCGCTCGATGGCGGCGCGCCGCACCGTCTCGGGTCGCCCTAGATGTCGCGCCGCCCCCCGCCCCCGATCACGCGCAAGCAGTTCAAGCCGTTCTTCCTCATCTTTCGCACCTTCCTTCCGGATCAGCGCGCGCAGCATTTTTTCCCTTGCGCGATCCATGTGCGAGCGAGCCAGTCTGCGATGCTCGATGAGATCGAGCGCGCGTTGAATTGCCCGACGCTGTCTGGCTGCGACGGCCCGCTTTGGCAGTGCATCGGTGGCCTTCTCGAGACCACGCTGAATACAGCTGCCCGACGCCCCCATGGACGCGTCGGCAACTTCCAAGGAGTTCCCAACAGCGCCAACTGGTGTCGAAATACAATCATTCTGCATGCCAGGAGCTCTCAAACTGGCCACGTCGATGACTGCCCTTTGCGGCGGGCCCCCCACGTTACATACATACTGCGATTCTACCAACGTCAAGAAATGACGGCTACCAAGAGCAACTTCACGGCTAGCCCTTACATCGCTGAGCGCGCGCTGGACAACGCGGTGGCGCAAAACATGGTCGATGTGAACGAATCTCCCCCGGGACGTCGCTCCCCATCGGACGGGCGCAAAGCTCTCTGAAGGTCACCCGTTGGTCCGCGGGGCGGTCGAAGAACGCGCTGGGCGCCGCCAGCTCGCGCGACGCAGGTCTCCATCCGCAGCAGTCGATCGGAGAGAGCATCTGGGATCTGACATGCCCGGGCATTCCCGCCAGCGACACGACGACGACCAGACGCACGCGGGCAAACCAGGTGCTGTTGCCCACCTCGCACTCGTACTCGTAGTAATATTGCGTTGAGGTCGCCGAGAATGCAGGTCGCGTTGCGCGCCGCGGTCTTCCGCGCATGGACTTGGAGGTCAGCGTAGAAGGAAAGGCGAATCTCACGAGGGTGGCCGCCATGTGGGACACACGCGCTAAGCGCGGCGAGAATGCCACTCTGGATATTGATACGCACGGCGGCGCCCCTCGAGGCACGCGCCCTGAAAGCCACCGTGCTTCCCAGCATCCCCGGGGCAACCAAGAAGCCCGCGCCCGCGCGTGCTCGCACTTCTGAATCCAGCTCGGCTGACAGAAACACCATGTGCCCATCGCGAAATATTCAGCACCGTGGAGGTGTGTCTCTTGAATACATAATATAAAAATGCTGCGCGCGCCCATAATGCTGGTCCGCCCGTCGGCCTCAAGGCTGGAATCACCCCGCAAGCCTCCGACATTCCAGCTGCCGAGACGGCCGGGGCATCGAGGCATGCCCGCAGAAAGGCGTCATCACCAAGACAATTGCCCAGGAAACGATCGAAGATATCGCACACACACACACACACACACACACACACACACACACACCACCACCACCACCACCACCACCACCACCACCACCACCACCACCACCACACTTGGCCAGCGCGGATGGCCGGATCCAGGTCGAAGCGGTTGTGGAAAAAAAAAACCCGAAAGATAACTCCGAGGACTGTGGCAAGGATGGCGACGCGACCGCGGGCCGTTGCACGAGTGTAGCTCTGTCCGAAATCGCACTGGCGTTGGTGATATAGTTGCTCACCATGACAGCGCGCGCATGCACCTGACGATCTCGCTGGCCGGCTCCAGTCACTGGATCCCGGCCGCATGTCCCACTTGCCTTTTGACTTGCGTTTTGCCGAGCCTTTCATACACCCGGTGGCTCGCTCCAGGAGTGCCGAATTGTTACTCAAAAGTTCAATGGGCTTCGGATGATTCTGCAGCTCCCCCCACGTTCTCCACTTAGGGCCCCAGTCCAGGACAAGCTGAGACTCATGCACAGGACCTGATACTGCAATATCTCCCCCTACTACAACTTGAATGGGAAAATCGTCCGCGGCGACCTGCATATTGCACTCGCTGTTAAAATCGTTGTTGATAATGTACTTCAGCCCAAAACGCCCATTCCGAGCCGCGCGGAAAGACGGCGGCTCATCAAGAGCCACCCACATGTTTGCCCCATCCGCGCTTGGGACTCGCACTCCGTGATAGGCCAACCGCGAAGTCTCGATCGGCTTCGCTAGCGAATAACACGAAGAGAATGTCTTCGAAGTCGCCCATGGAGCATACGTCAACGGCCGCAGGAGCAGACAACGAAGAAAGCGCAGCATTGACCCGCGAAGTTGCTGCTGACACAGAACCGAATCCAACCAACTCTCCTACAACTGTTGCAAGCTCCAGCATAGCTTCGCCCGCGGTGTTCGACTGATTTTCACGCTGCAGCATGCTGGACAACCTTAGCTCTGAAAACTGTTCCTCGAGCGACTTGACGCGGCCCCACATGGCCGCGTCGTCGCTCCGGGGCGCGGTCAGGGCATCGGCCTGCCCGGCGCGCTGATTCTCGAGGTTGGCGATGCGGATAGCAATGTCCTCGATGCTCTCCTGCGCCTCCTCGACCCCGGCGTTGATGGCCCCGCTCACCTCGTTGAGGCGACGCTCGAGGGAGTTGGCCGCATTCCGGATGGGGCGCGCCTCCCGGCGGATCGCGCCTGCGATTTGCTCCAGAGTAGGCCGACGAAAATGGCGCCCACGTACGCTGCAGGCGGGGGCGGCCCCAGCGCGGACGCAAGAGTCGCGCGCGCATGCCTCGGGGCCATCGCCGGCGCCATCCACGTCGTTCAGCGGGCTGAATTAGCGCCTGCGCAAAATGCCCCCCGCCCCCCGCCAACTCCTCCCGCAGGCGCCCCCGGCACCCTCGCGGCGGGGCGCGCCCCCGACGGAGATGGCGCATTCGGCGCCGCTGGGGCAATGCGCGGAATGACAAGAGGAGAAGCAGAACAATCACATTCACGGCGCGGGAAGCAAGAAGCGCGGGATGCAAGGAGCGCGCAGCGTAGGGGAAATGCGGGGGGGCCATAGAACGACGCCCTAAGCCGCGCCGGCCCTGGCAGCTCGGCGCGCGAGCGTAGCGGCGGCTGATTGAGAGGTCGACTGATGCGCTGCACATGCAAATGAGGCCTGGGCCTCTGCGCCCAGCTACTCGGGGGCGCGCCCACGCGACTACATCCCACCCCGTCCATCCCCCCCCCCCCTCCTCCCCCCCCCCCCCGCGCCGCTCCCGGCAGCTCAGGCAAGCGTGCCGAAGCTATGAAACGACGCCTTTGAGCCGCGCCGGCCCTTGCAGCTCGGCGCGCGCTACGGCGGCCGATTGAAAGGCGGACTGCTGCGTTGCACCTGCAATTCAGGGCTGGCCCCTCGCGCCCAGCTGCCCGGGGATATGTCCGCGCGACTGCGCCCTGGCCCATCCACTCCCCGCGCCCCACCCCCCCACCCCACCACCACCACCACCACCCCACCCCACCCTTCGCGTGACTGCGGATTTTCGCGGGCCCGCGCGAGTCCGAGAACTCCCTGGTCGACCACCCCGAAAAGCATACGACATTCTCTTATCTGGATAATGAGATGGCGATGACAGATCCCCCTCAGCGCAAACACGCAGCGCCTGCACCGGCGCAATCACGGTCGAAACGATCCCCCCCCAACACCACCCCAGCGAAGACGCATTGGATGAGATGCGAGTGCGACGACGCATGGCACGCCGAGAGTTCGCAACAGCATGGCGACGCAACGCGTAAAAGTTCATCGGCACAACGCTTGGTAAACGTGATCCAAATTGGGCTCGTCGTGAGGAATGCATGAAACCTTCGACGTCACCATTACTATTTCGATATCTCCGGATAAGACCAAACGCTCTGCGGTTCGCAAGATCGTTCTGACAGTTAAATTTAACAGCGGACGTGAACAGTGATGATTTGAGCTCAACGCGGGAACAAGCGCGAAATTCAGTTCTGGAAGGCTCTCACCTTGCTTAAAGTACTGTCAGTAGTAAATACACACCGCTTGGTGGGAGCACTCCATGGTCCTAGTGACCCTTCGACACCGTTCAAATAATCAGCCATTTAATCGAACCAGACGAACTGTTTGACCCTGTTGAGAAGAGCGCTGTTCAGCGTCGACTCCTGCATCAAAATCGAGCGTCGCCGCCGCGGGAATAGCACCCGCTTCCTTGCCCACGTCTCGCGGCACCGCGGGCGCAACCGGCTCCGCGGGCCCCGCCGCCGCGGGAAGCGCGCGCGCTGAATGCGAACGGAAAAAGAAAGAGCGGCCGATATCCGGCTCGCGGGTGTTCGAAGGCGTCGGAGACAGAGCCTCGGAGCCTCCGCCATCCCTGGCCAAGTCTCGCGGCACCGCGTGCGACACAGGCGCCGCGGGCGCCGCTGCCGCTGAAAGCGCGCTCGCGAAATGCAAATGGCAGGAATCTGAGCGGCAAAATTATGTCTCGCGGGTTTCCGAAGACGTCGGAAATAGCGCCTCGGGGCCTCCACCTTGCCGGACCCATGCATTCCTTCCAATCGAATCATCACGCGCCGCGTTGGTTTGCGCGCGCCCAAGGAGTGAATCGCGAGGGTAGATGCGGCAGACGAGCGCCCGTCATTTGCTGACCCGCACGGTGGGGGCAGGGCGACAGGGGGGACGAAAGTCGGTGCCAGGCAAAATGGCGGCAAACTGGGCTGGCACGGCTGCAAAGCAATCCCTTGTTACCCCACCAAGCAGCGTCGTTAATAGGCACGAACGTCTTTGCATTTGTATTCATCTCTGGTTTGCCACGGTGAAAGAGGGCTGGGTCTGAAAAAACCAACAGCGTTGCTTTGAACAGCTCCAGTTGAAGTGCCTTGACGATGTTGTTTAGTGTCGCAAGATAGAGAGTGGGACTGAAGTTTTTGACCGAGAAGGGCCACATCCTGCAAGGTAATGCGGGTGGTACACGCACGCGCAGCGTATTCGAGTGCATTGAGAACTTTCAACGTAGCCGAAGAAGCAAGATGAGAGGAACATATCATGAAAGCAGAGATGACCGCACAAATAGCCATGTCTCGCGCGCGCAAGAAAGGTTCTCGGTGGAGTCGCGGGCTGCCTTGCAAGCAGGCTGCCGCGCCTACGCACGCACCGCTCGAGTAGGCTGAGCAGCCCGTGGCTCACACTCCTCCTTCACCTCCTCTTTCTACTCCTCCTCCGTCTCCTCATCGTGCTCCTCCTCCTCCTCATCATCATCCTCCTTCTCCTCCTCCACCCCCGCCCCCTCCTCCTCCTGCTCCTCCTCCTCCGCCTCCTCTTCCTCCACCTCCTCCTCCTCCTCCTCCTCCTCCTCCTCCTCCTCCTCCTCCTCATCATCATCATCATCATCCTCATCCTCCTCCGTCTCCTCCCCTCCTCCTCCTGCGAGCGGCGGACGCAGTCTGTCCCGCGCCCACACTCTCCCTGAACTCCACGGGGAGCGCGGCGACAAGGTACTCCCGGTCGGCGAACGCGAGCAGCGGCCGGCGCCTGGTCCAGCTCCCGCCCGGCTAGGCTGCCGCAGCCGCCCGGAGCTCGGTCGCCCGCCTGGCGCCGGCGCTGTCCGCGCCCAGCGCCGTCCTGAGCTGGCGGGCGGTGGCCCGGTGGAGGGCCACGCTGAGCTCCCGGCCCCACCGGGCCATCAGGGCGCCAGCGACTGCGGGGGCGGCCTCGTCGTCGCCCAGGAGGGCCGCCTCCCCGCGGGCCAGCTCGCGGAGGTGCCGGAGGGCTGCCGGCCCGTGCCGCCCTCCGGTCTCGAGCGCCAGGGGCACCATGCCCCACGGGGTCCGGCCCGGCGGGTAGCGGCGGCACTTCTCGGCCTCCGCCGCGGCGTTGACCGCGCCGTTGCGCCCTGCCGCCGCTGCCAGGCCGTCGGCGTCCCCTGGCACGCAATAGCGCACCGTCACGTCGAAGTACAAGCGGGGGCAGTCAGCCCGCTGCACCTCGATGTCGAGGGTGGCCTCCTCCCGCTCCGCGCGCAGCCCGGCCCCGCAGGTGGCGCAAGGGCCCGCCGGCAGGTCCGCCGTCGTCCCGCCCTGGTTGCAGCGCGGGCAGGTCCAGCGCCAGCGGTCCCTGGCCGGGACGTGGGTTTGGCGCTCCACGTGGAACCCGCACTCCGCGCGGATACGGGCCCAAGCGCGCTCCAGGTCCCTGCTCCGCGCCTTGAGCCCGCCTCCGCGAGCGCAGCGCCAGGCGTGGCGCGCTCGGCTGTCCAGCGGCTCCCCGCACAGCTGGCCAGCCCGCTCGCCAGTCCGGGCGGCGTTGCAGCAGGTGGCGCCGGGCGGGGCTGCGGCTTGGCCTAGGAGCGTCCGCGAGGTGCTGTAGTAGTCCGCGTCGTCGAGCCGCTGCGCGTCCGCGCCCGGCGAGGCAGTCTGCCAGGCGCTCGAGTGCGGCCCGCCGAGGCCTGCAGCAAGGAGTTGTGGTTTTTGTGGTCAATCCTTGCTGTCAGGGCCTTTTGGAGCTTTCGGCGAGGCGCCTGCGCTAGTTCCTGCCAGGTGGGCAGGTCGGCCGCTTCCGCGCCAGGGCGAGGTGCCGGCGGAGGCAGTTGGGCAAGTCCGGCGAGAGCGTCGCGGCAAGCTCCAGCCAGGGGCAGGGCGCAGGTGTCTAAGTCGCCCAAGCAAGCCAGCCCAGCGCGCCCCCTCACCCCGTGCAAGTTCTGCGCCCAGGAGCCGGCCCAGGCCGCCGGCGCCAGCTGCCGCTGGCTGCGGAGGCCGCGTCCTCCTCCTCCTCCTCCTCCTCCTCCTCCTCCTCCTCCTCCTCCTCCTCCTCCTCCTCCTCCATCTCCTCCTCCCCTCCTTCCCTCCCCCTCCCCCTCCCCCTCCTCTTCATCTACCTCCTCCTCCTCCTCCTCCTCCTCCTCCTCCTCCTCCTCCTCCTCCTCCTCTCCTCCTCCTCCTCCTCCTCCTCCTCCTCCTCCTCCTCGGGTCCCCTACGCCCCGGGGGAAACCGTGCAGCTGACAGGCGGCAGCAGGCAGCTTCCCCGTGCCGCGCAGCGGCGACCGAGGTGGGGCCGCGCGCGGGGCGCCATCTGCATCCTCATCCCCCTCGGCATCCTCGTCCTCATCTTTTTCGGCTCCACAGCGTCTTCCTCCTCCTCCTCCTCCTCCTCCTCCTCCTCTCTCTCCTCCTCCATCTCCTCCTCCCCTTCTTCCCTCCCCCTCCCCCTCCTCCCCTCCTCCACCTCCTCCTCCTCCCCCTCCTCCTCGTCCTCCCCTCCTCCTCCTCTCCATCTCCTCCCCCTTCTTCCCCTCCTCCCTCCCCTCCTCCTCCTCCTCCTCCTCCTCCTCCTCCTCCTCCTCCTCCTCCTCCTCCTCCTCCTCCTCCTCCTCCTCCTCCTCGCGCGAGCGGCGCAGGCCCCGCCACGCGGGCGAGGCGCGGTCAGCCTGCCGGGCCAGGCCTGGAGGGGCCACCACCTGAGGCGCTCCCGAGCCTCGCCTTGGAGGGCCGGAGGAGCTGCCAGCTCGTTCTCGGCGGGGGGCCGGCGGAAGTTGGTGGAAGGCCGCCCTCACAGAGCCGCCTTCGCAGAGGCGGAGGCGCGTGTGGACGGGATTGACGGGGTTGCCGGAGCCCGGAAGAAAGCGATGGCTGCCGCAGTCGTGTGCCTTCTGTGCACGTCTCTGTGTGCCCGAAAGTTTGTATTTTCCAATCATTCAGTATGATAGCGCCGGTACTCGGTAGAACACGCGGGCCCAACCACGAGATCTCCAGACGATGATGGGGGATAGTGTCGCGAAAAAAAAGGAAGGCGTAAGTCGGGCATGTC